ATATTTTCTAATATTTTATAGTAAAGCCTGAATTACATAAATAAACAAAATCAAGATTTAAGATAAAACCAATATTATGGTTAAGAGGATGAACTATGGAGTCAGATAAGCCCAGGTCACAAGTGACCTTAGGTAGATAAATTCCTAAAACTTCTTAACATTGGTTTCCTCATCTGTGAAGTGGTGATAATAATAGTGCTTGCCTTAGTGGGTTTTTGTGAAGATTAAATTAGTAATGATGTAATCTACCATGTGTACTTATCAATTAACCAATTACAAAATTCCTACTCCTATATCACAAGGTAGTGTAAGGTACTTGGAGAAGTACAAAGAAGTTTGAAATAGTCTCTGCTCTACAGACAGTTAAGTAGATAGATTCCATTAACTCATATAAGACCACGGCAAAGGACTTCATAGTTATGTGATGTGCAAGGGAATCCAAACACACAAACACACTTTAAAGATATTAAATATCTACTAAACTAATTTGAGCCTTTGGAAAAAAGGTAACGTATGTGGGTGAATTTTATGGTGTATGAATGATATCTCAATGAAGATGTTAAAAAAGTAATCATTTTAGTATATGATATTTACCTGAAAGAAATAATCTTGAGTATTTTAACAAAAAACACAGATACAGTACAAAAACTAACATTGCAGAGAAAAATTTCTAAAGTAGCTGATTTGAATCATGTGAAATTGAATCTGGTTCATAAAGTTATTGAATTGCTTGGAGACTCGTTTTTAGTGTGTGATTAATAAAATGATGCCCACATAGGATTTGCAAATATTAAATACTATGACTAAAATAATGAATTCCTTAATTTTTTCTGTAAACCGTTGGGGGAAAAAGAACTTTATTTGTTTGGGGAAAGAAAGGAAGCAGCAGCTCTTTCTTAATGTAACATCAATAATTTTCAAGGTTCAATTAAAATTTCACTAGAAAATTGCTTTCCTTCCTCACTCTTGCACTTTCTGGTAATAATAGTCCTAGGTGTTCTTCACTGAACGCTCACTATGCTCTTGGGAATATGTCAAGTCATTCATAGACCTATCAAACTTAATTTTGACAACAGTTCATGAGGTAAATGTAACTAGTTTCACTTAACAGATGAGACTGAAACAAGTAAGTTAAGCAACTTGACCAGGTCACATGGCTATTAATTAATTCAAAGCCGGAACTGCCAGGTTACAAATCTGCTAACTTGTAATCCTATATGTGAATCTATCTTTAAAAATATTTTATTCTGTCTTTTGACTTTTAATTTCAGGGGTACATGTGCAGGTTTATCCTATAAAGAAATTACCTGTTGTGAGGGTTTGGTGTACATATTATTTTGTCACCTAGGTAATAAATATAGTACCCAATTGGTAGTTTTCTTGTTTTGCTTTTTGAGACAGGGTCTTGCTCTGTTGCCCAGGCTAGAATGCAGTGGTGCAATCTCAGCTCACTACACAACCTCTGCCTCCTGGGGTCAAATGATCCTCCCACCTCAGCCTTTGGAGTAGTTGGGACAACAGACACATGTCACCTCACTTGGCTAAAATTTTGGTATTTTTTTTTAGATGAGATTTTGTCTTGTTGCCCAGGCTGGTCTTAAACTCCTGGACTTAAGTGATGCTCCTGTCTCGGCCTCCCAGTGTGCTAGGATTACAGGCATGAGCCACCATGCATGGCCAATAGGTAGTGTTTTGATCCTTGCCTTTTTCCCACCCTCCACCCTCAAATAGGCCCTGATGTCTACTGTTCCCTTCTTTATGTCCATGTGTACTTAACATTTAGCTCTCATTTGTAAGTGAGAACATGTGGCATTTGGTTTTCTCTTCCTGTGTTAATTCACTTAGGATAATGGCCTCCAACTCTATCTACTTTGCTGCAAAGGACATGATATCATACTTTTTTATGACTGTGTAGTATTCCATGGTGTATATGTACTGCATTTTCTTTACCCAGTCTACTGCTGAAGGGCATTTGGGTTGATGCCATGCCTTTGGTATTGTGAATAGTGCTGCAGTGAACATATGCATGTATATGTCTTTATGGTAGAGTGATTTATATTCCTTTGGGCAAATATCCAATGATGGGATTGTTGAGTTGAATGGTGGTTCTAAGTTCTTTGAGAAATTGCCCATCTGCCTTCTGCAGTGGCTAAACTAATTTACATTACTACCAGCAGTGGGAGCTTTTTAATAATAGCTCTCTGAATGGTATGAAATGGTATCTCACTGTTTTCGATTCGTATTTCCTTTAATGATTAGTGATGTTGAACAGTTTTTCATATGCTTGTTGGTTGCATATATGTCTTCTTCAGAAAAGTGTCTGCTCATGTCCTTTGCCCACTTTTTAATGGGGTTGCTTGTTTACCGCTTGCCACTTTAAATTTCTTATGGATTCTGGATATTAGATCTTTGTCAGATGCATAGTTCACAAATATATTCTCCCATTCTGTGAGTTGTCTATTTACTCTGTTGGCAGTTTCTTTTGCTGTGCAGAAGCTCTTTAGTCTAATCAGGTCCCATTTGTCGATTTTTGTTCTTGTTCCAACTGCTTTTCCTGTCTTCCTCATGAAATCTTTGCCAGGACCTATGTCTAGAATGGAATTTCTAGATTTCTTCAAGAGTTTTTGTAGTTTTGGGTTTTACACTTAAGTATTTAATCCATCTTGAGTTGATTTTTGTGTATGGTATAATATAAAGAAGGGGTCCAGTTTCAATCCTCTGCATATGGCTAGCCAGTTATCCTAGCACCATTTATTGAATACAGAGTCCTTTCCCCATTGCTTTTGTCAACTCTATTGAAGATTGGATGGTTGTAGGTGTACAGCTTTATTTCTAAGTTTACTTCTCTATTCTGTTCCATTGGTCTGTGGGTCTATTTTGTCCAGTATTTTTGGGATACTGTTTGTGCATCCGCATTACGCTGTTTTGGTTACTGTAGTCTTCTCGGATAGTTCAAAGTCAGGCAATACTATGCCACCAGCTTTGTTCTTTTTGCTTAGGATTGCTTCGGCTATTCGGGCTCTTTTTTGGATTCATATAAATTTTAGAATGGTTTTTTCTAATTCTGTGAAGGTTGTCTTTGGTAGTTTGATAGAAATAGCTTTGAATCTGTACATTGTTCTGGGCAATATGATACTTTTAACAATATTGATTCTTCTTATCCATAAGCATGGAATGTTTTTCCATTTGTTTGTGTGAATCCATCTTTTTTTTTCTTTTTACCTCAGTTTTCTGTGGAAGTGTGAATCCACCTTTGTACTTTGTTTCATCTGCAAATGTTACAAATGAGTGGACAATGACAGACAAGGATAATAAGTCCTTTCCCAGAGCGTTCCTGAACAAGGGGTGACACGCTAAAACTACACTTTTGACAGGACATCCAAGTTAGTTTTCTTCAATAACAGTATTCTGAGGCACAACTATAGCAATTTGGATAGTCAAAGAAACTACTTCTCCAGGAAGATACACTTCATTTTAGGAGCCAACTAGAGTATTGAGAGAAGAGTTCAACATTAAATAGTTTAAACCATTAAGTTATTATTTAGAAATGCTTGAGATCATAGTTTTTTTTTAGTACAAATTTTTACATTTTATTTTTCATTCATTTACTTATTCAGTGGTTATCCACTGGGCACCTACTATGTGCTAGGTGCTCTTCTAGGCATTTGAGATATAGCAGAGGACATAACAGACAAAAAAAAAAAAAAAACCTGTCCTAAGAGAAAAATAATAATAAAAAGGAAAACAAATTTTGAGAGGAAAAAAACACTAAGAAACAACAATAACAACAAAGAAAATCCCTGACCTTACAGAGTTTACATCGCAGTGGAGGAAGATAGACAAAGAAATACGTGTTAGATGATGCTAAGTGATATGAAATAGAAATAATGAGCAAGTGGTAGAGAGAGGTGAAGGCTGGTGTTTAGATACAGAGAGATGAGGGCTGATGTTCCTGGGTCAAGGAGAAATTCTGTGAGATACTACATTAAAGTGGAGGCTTGAATGAAGTGACTGAGAGAGTAAACCATGTGAATATCTGATGAAAGAGCATCCTACAGAAATGAAGAACAAGTGCAGGGGCCCTGAGCTCGATGGATCCTAGAAAGAGAAAGAAAAAAAAAGGCTGGAAGAGGGAGAACAAGGAGTGGTGGAAGACAAGGTCACAGAGGAAGCCCTGCCTAGGCCCTGATAGACGCTGTGGCTTTTCTCTGGGGAAGGTGGACCGGTTAGGCAGCTAGTGTAATGACTGAAGTGAGAAGTGACATAGGATGGCAGTAGAGGGGATGAGAATTAGTTGGCTACTGGACATATTTAAAAGCTGAATTGACAGGATTTATTGATGGTTTGGAATGTAGAGTGTGAGCGTGATGAAATAGTTGTGTTAAAGTGCAAGTTAACTAACAGGAAAGGCAGGGGGGCGTGGGAAAACCTTCAGAGTCCTCCTCAGGCCTGGTTCTAGTGTATCCAGACCATTTGACCTGGAGGTTAAGTCAATAGGAGTCACAAAAAACTACTAAGAATAGGACAAAATCAGTGGTGACCCCTCTGCCCAAGTGGGTCTTGTTCCAAGAGGCTGCCAAGCTAAATAGTGGTTGTGGGAAAAGAACAAGTATCTTTTCTAAGGATTGATTTCCAGTTTGTTAAGGAGAGGAATGGAAAGTAAAGGTGTAAGATCAGACTTTCATCAAGTCTAAGGAAGTTTCAGGGCTGGGAGTATATTGCAGGGCCAAGCCTTAGTTTTTCCCTAAGTCTTTTCATTTTTTTTTTCTCTCTTTCCTTTTTCCTCATTTCCCCATTCGCTCCTTGGTCTAAGTTCTTGCTTGCAGAAAGGTATAGTTTACCTCTGGTTCTCAAACTTAAGGGGGCATCAGAATTTCCTGGAGGGCTTGTGAAAACAGATTGGTGGGCCCCACTCCCAAAGTTTCTAATTGTGTGTGTGTGTGCGTACGCATGTGCATGCTGAGATTTTGCATTTTTTTTCTTTTTCATTTTTTTTGAAGATGGCGTCTTGCTCTTGTCACCCAAGCTGGAGTGAATGGCACGATCTCAGCTAACTGCAACCTTCGCCTCCCGGCTTCAAGAGATTCTCCTACCTCAGCCTCCCAAGTAGCTGGGATTACAGGCGCCTGTCACCACGCCCAGCTAATTTTTGTATTTTCAGTAGAGAGGGTTTCACCATGTTGGCAAGGCTGGTATTGAACTCCTGACCTCGTGATCTGCCCGCCTCAGCCTCCCAGAGTGCTGGGATTACACAGTCGCAAGCCACCGCGCCCGGCCAAGATTTTGCATTTCTAACAGACTCCCAGGTAACACTTGAGAAGTTGCTTTTTGGACAGGAGCACTTACAAGGCAACGTGATCTTGAGCTTCACCTTGAGGGATGTGAGCGGGGAAAGTTCCAGCTCACAGAGGTTTACAGTCACTTGAGAAATGGTCCACTTCCTCCAAGGTGTTTCTTGGATACCCCAAAAGGAGGAAAACGAGAAGTGACCGTGGGTGAGGAGGAGGAGCTGGCGTCCTCCTCGGTGGGGCAGGCGGTCGGAGCTCTCTAGTGCGGCGAGGGCGGGAAGACAGCCCCCAGGCCGGCCCACAGATCCTCAGAGGGCGCGGACCTGGAGGAGGCGCCCAAGAAGGCGACGCCTCTTGCCTCTTGCCTCTCGCCTCTCAGAGGAAGTTTACCCTTAATTTCAGAGCCAGGGTCACCGTCCGATCAACCTCCAGGAGTGAGCAGCGGGCGCGGACCAGATCGGCCAGTCCTCCCGGCGCGGCTGGGCAGTTACCGCGCTCGGCACAGGCGGTTCGCGGCCATGGGCAGCTCGGCCTCTAGCCAGCTGGACGAGGGCAAGTGCGCCTACATCCGAGGTACGCCCGCCCGCCCCCCAGAGGCCTGGGGAGCCCCCCGACCCTTGTGCCAGGCTGGCCACCGCGGCCGAGGCCCCAAGGGGCGCGCCCGGGCCCTCTCCCTGCAGCGCGCGGCGACCCCGACCTCAGCCCGCCCGCGCGAGCCAGGTTTCCCTCCCCAGCCGGCGCGCTCCGGCGCGGGTGTGGACCGGGGACTGGGAGGTCTTGGGAGCCAGGCAGGTGCAGGATGCGGGTGGGGACTCCGGCGCTCCCGCTGCTCCCGCCGCCCTGGAGTCAGGGCCGTCCCGTCCGGCGCACCTCGCCCTCCCATGCCTGCCCTGGACTGAGTTCTGAGCGGTTTCTGAACGGGCCGCCGGGAGAGCAGCGGGGATATCCCTGGTTTCTAAAGATTCCCCTGGGGATTCCCGGCAGCTAAGGCAGAATTTCCCTCTTAATAATGTTGGCCTGGCTTTGGAAAGCGCGGGCTTCGCTCCCACTTCACTGTAGCACTTGCCTGATGATTTCATCAGCGGCAGAAAGGATCCTGTCATGACGTTCCTAGCCCCTGCCCTTCCCTTCCCGTCCCGGAGAGGCGCGAAGCGAAAGAGGAACACTGGTGCGCTTCGTAACGGTCGCGAAAGTTATAGATGGGGAGAAACTCATTTAGGGAGACCTTCAGAGGTGTGGGGACTCAGTAGAGAGCGCGAGGCAGAAAAAAACCAAGACCCAGACCGAACTGAACTGCAGGAAGTCCTGACTATCTCCTGGGTGTATTTGGCCTCCCCTCTTCCCACCTCCCACCCAACCTTGCCTTCCACCACTACCTAACATTTGGTTATCTTACCAATTACTGCCCTTCCCTGCCCCGCCCCAACCCCCACCCTCGGCTTCAGAAATACCTTCTAAACTAGGTATTAAACTCTAGGTCTGTTTGGCCCGTGAGTTCTTTTAAGAACATTTTAAAAGGGTATCAAATCAGAGCACTTGAAAAGCAACGGACATGATTTTCCAGATTCCTGCCCTGGTGGTTTTGGAGGTAAAAGATCCTCAGCAGCCCATAGTGTCAGGGGATAACACTTGCTCAAGTATCACTTGCTTTTGTTTGTTAAAAGGGGGAAAGCTGGATGATTTATTTATATTAGTAAAAGAGCTGACCTAAGCCTAAAAGAAATAAATGAAGCCTGCCTTAGTCTTAAAAATGTGGTTACATGCTCGTGTTCACCAGTGTGTGGGGACTGAAAGGGCACTGCAGCAGAACATAGTGAGAAAGGGCTTGCATTTGATGTTAGCAAAGTTGGGTTTAAGGTGTTTATGTAAGACTTTATTTCACTGGAAAGATTAGGAGCATCTAACGTAGAAGGATGGCCATCTACACTAACCATTTGAAGTTAAGCAATGTGAAGGATTAACTTGCTTAAGGAAGACTTCCTGGTCATGCCAGTTGTTGCTATTGATGCAAACACTGTACTCAGATAATAAGAAAATGTATTACCTTCTTTATTCTGAAAGCATTAAATTATTACACATACAAAAGCATGTGGGAGTTAGGACAGGTGAAGAACTTGTAATGCATGTGTTTGAGTAAAACTATAGCACATGGTGTGATTTCATTACATCCCCAGCCTTGTTCAGTTTTCTCTCTTTGTTCTATATTTAGGAGGGCACTTTGAAGGTATGTGTAGTGGGAGAGGGAAGAGAAGAGTTAGTTAGAATACCTCCAGAGAACGCCAGGCGTGGTGGCTCACTGTAATCCCAGCACTGTGGGAGGCCAAGATGTAGATCACCTGAGGTTGGGAGTTCGAGACCAGCCTGACCAACACAAAGAAATCCCGCCTCTACTAAAAATACAAAATTAGTTGGGTGCGGTGGCACATGCCTGTAATCCCAGCTATTTGGGTGGCTGTGGCAGGAGAATTGCTTGGACCTCGGAGGCGGAGGTTGCAGTGAGCTTAGATGGCGCCATTGCACTCCAGCCTGGGCACAAGAGTGAAACTCCATCTCAGAAAAAAAACAAAATAAAACCTCCAGAGAAAAAGACTCATCGCTTCATGTGAGTATGGTAGTCTTGCCAAAAGAGAAAAGAACCTTGGAAAAATGCGTGGTATTGTACATTGTTAGTGCGTGAGCAAACGAGGGTCATGGGGCCGTGATTTCCTGATGATTTTGAAGCCCAGTTTATGAATAGAATCGTAGCCCTATCTTTACCTCTTTGCCCATCTTTTAGCCTATAAATATTCTCAAGCTTTGATTCAATTGTAAGCAAAACGATTGAAAGTATGACAGTAAAGTTTAAAAGTACTTTTATGACTTGCTTCTTGTAAAGTAGCCATCAGTGAAATAGATTTGAAAGCTCCTGAAGCTGAGACAATAACTTTCTTTTAAGCTTGATAAACTTTGCTAGCAAGGAGAGTAGCTAGTCAATATATTTTGAGTGACTTTTTTTAACTTTATTTTGTATGCATTATAAGCAGCTGTATGACGCTGACACTGAATCAGCCCTTACTTGTTGTATTTTGAGATGGAGTCTCGCTCTGTAGCCCAGGCTGGAGTGCAGTGGTGCGATCTTGGCTCACTGCAACCTCCACCTCCCAGGTCCCAGTTCAAGCAACTCTCCTACCTTAGACTCTCAAGTAGGTGGTATTACAGGCATAAGCCACCATGCTCAGCTAATTTTTGTATTTTTTAGTAGAGACAGGTTTCACCATGTGGCCAGTCTGGTCTTGAACTCCTCACCTCGTGATCTGCCCGCCTCGGTCTCCCAAAGTGTCGGGATTACAGGCATGAGCCACTGCTCCTGGCCAGCCTTTACTTTAAGATAAATCATTTAACAGCTGCCATTCCTTGTGTGCCTCAAAACATCTATGTCATATGGATGTTTCGAAAATACATAGTTTCTTAGGATTTAGTTAATCTCCAGGTAAAGGTATATGAGCTATGTTAAGGAGTTACTTCATTTCTAAAGATGTTACTTTTGGAAATTGCTACAATGTTCACGTTTCTTAAAACAGAATAAATTTTTAGGATTGTTTCTAGAGGCCTTTCCCTAATGTCCCTGATGTTTCTATTAATAAATAATACTGAGACCAACTTGTGATCACGTAAGCCATGTCATATGTTAGTCTTAAGTGATGCTTTTAGCACTGACCTAAAATAATCTTTTTTTTTTTTTTTTTAATGAGGAAGAAAGCTCAGATTCCAGGCCTCAGTGGTCAATTTGGGTGATATTCTCTCTTTATGCCATCTTTTCTTTTCTTTTTTTAGTTTTTTGAGACAGGGTCTCACTCTGTTGCCCAGGCTGAAGTGCAGTGCAGTGGTGCAATCACAGCTCACTGTGAGCCTTGACCTCCCCTGGCTCAGGTGATCCTCCCACCTCAGTCTCCTGAGTAGCTGGGACTACAGGTGAGTGCCACCAGTCCCGGCAAATTGTTGTATTTTTTGTAGAGATGGGGTTTTGCCATGTTGCCCAGGATGTTCTCAAACTCCTATCCCCAAGCAGTCCTTTCATCTTGGCCTCCCAAAGTGCTGGGATTACAGGCATGAGTCACCATGCCCAGCCTCTTTTTCTTTAAAGCTTTTGGTATGCCCGAAATTAAACTATAGCTTTAAAAAAATGCCCAAAACAAAACCAAAAAACCCCACAATGTGTTTTCCTATTTAAACAATAATCTTATTTCCCTTTAAAAATTACCCTTGAATTTCTCATGAATCAACAAGAAAACAAACCTGAAAGCTCTCCCCTATAAGAAGTCCTGTGGAGGACCAGAAAAGTACTGGACAGTCAGTGCTGCAGTTGAGAGCTGTGGGATACACAGATCCTTGTGGGCACTTGCAGGTCTGCCAGCAGCAAATACCAGTTAGGAAGACTGTTTCCCCCACCAGATTTATTAGTGCATAGTCAGTTACACAATATATAAAGGGCCCAGTGGCTTCCTCCGAATGCTCATCAATGATCTGATGCTTTCAAAGTAAGAAATGAGTTTCAGCTTTAAAACAGCACATGTTTTTCTCAGGGGAGTTCACCCTTATTTATACAAGGGTTAACTTAGGTGGCTAGATATAAAGTTTAAAGTGATATGTCTAGAATGAAGATGCCCATGGAAATGGGCAAGGTGGAGGATGGGAAGCTGTACACATCTGCAGTCTACTTAGTGTAGATGCATCATTCTAGTCCACACATTTGCTTCTTCGGTCATAATTTGTTGGTGGGAGATGGGCATAAGAACTGGTCTGATTTATTTGAATATTTTTGGTAGTGTAATCTTAGAGTCCCAGGTTGGCTAGTAATGGCAATATACCGTGATGAAAAAATTAGGAAATGGATTATGGTAGATGCTGTTGTATGTCAACCAAAAATCCTTTTCCCATTCCTCTCCCCGCGTTTTCTTTTGAGACAAGGTCTTAACTCTGTCACCCAGACTAGAGTGCAGTAGGACAATCATGGCTCACTGCAACCTTGCCTCCCTTGGCTCAAGCAATCCTCCCACCTCAGCCCCCTGAGTAGCTGGGAGTACAGGCACGTGTCACCATACCCAGCTATGTTTTTTGTATTTTTTTTTTTTGTAGAAACGGGGTTTCACCATGTTGCCCAGACTATCTCAAACTCCTGAGCTCAAGTGAGCCACCTGCCTTGGCCCCCCAAAGTGCTGTGATTACAGACAGGGGCCTCCGTGCCCGGCCCCCATTCCTTTTTCTGAAAGAACTCCAGTTTTTTTTTCAGGTATTAAAACTCCTGGCCAGATGTGATGGTTCATGCCTGTAATCCCAGCACTTTGGGAGGCCGAGGTAAGAGGACTACCTGAGCCCAGAAGTTCAAACCAGTCTGGGCAACATGGCGACACCTCGTCTCTCTAAAAAAAAAGAAAATCCCAATGTTGCTCTCTGTTTCAGAGATGCTAGCCCAATTTAAGTCCCCTGAAACGTCTGTACCTGTTATGGTGGCGGTGGTCTCCTTGCCAGTGATGATTATAGTATCCGTGGGATTATGTTGCCATCTGGTCAGTGTTACTTGAGGGGAAGTTTGC